CGTCACATTCCCGCAGAAACTGGTTGATCACACCGGGGCCAGACTACTAGCATGTGGTTTTACAACCACAATGTCCTCAGAAGCAAAAACGCTTTTAAAAGGGAGGGAGGAGTCCTAACTGTTGCTGCAGGCGTGTTGTGTGAGAGTGCAGTTATATACTGGTTAATATATTTTTGGGTTCAGTTGCTTTCATGTGGCCTAATGTGAATCTATTTGGGATCATTGGAATGATCAGCAGCATTTCTTGATGTGACTTTATGGCAGTTGCCCAGGGCATCATCGCAAGGAGGATGGCATTCATTTACTTTTGTTTTATTTGGTATTTTTTCAGTCATTTTTGGAAATAGTGATCAATTTTGATTAATTCACAGCCTATGTTTAATTACATTTAAAATATATGTCAACAGATGAGATCAAACAAAACAGATGAGAATTGCCCTTAAGCTGTTTAACTTGGACCAAGCATTTTAGGTCACAGATAGATGTAGCTTAGGGTCTCTGTCTATACACCTTATAAGACAATTTAGGTGATGGCATGTTGTTTTTCTGCTATTGAACTGTTTTCTAATAATGTTGTGTTAAATAAAGTGAAGGAAGGAGAGAAATAACGTTTCCCTAGCAGTTTTTAAAAATTTCCCCATGTAATCTGATTAATCGATTAATCGTGTCGAGACCCCATCCGATTAATCGATTATCCAAATAATCGTTTGTTGCAGCCCTAGCTGGTTACATTAAAAGAGCAGATAGTGTTTATGAACAGTGTTTCACTTTATTAAATCAGTGACAGATCACAGTGTGCAGAAGGTCTGAGGCAATGAGCTCCTTTTCTTCCTGCTAACTACATGTTTTGTTTTCTTTAGGCTCCTCCAATGAAGCAGAGCGAACATTTTCATTGGTCTGGATCTCTCAGACCTGGCCTCCAGCTCCTCATGAGAATAGCAGAGGTGGTGCTGCATTATGGACTCAATACTAGCTGTTAGCCCATCAGTCCTGTAGAATATAAACTCTGTTTCTCAGAACAGAGGCTGTTCAGTGGGTGACAAGTGTTTATTGTTGGACTGTTTTACACAGAAACATAATGTCCGTGTAAGGTTTGTTTGTTTGTTTTAAAGCTTTTCTTTCCAGAGGAGCATTTAGAAGCTGTTTGTATACAAACATGCTGTGGATGTTTGGGAGTTGGGATATTGGATATTTGATGATCCCGTGTGAATCTGTTTTCATCATTTCATCTTCTGACCAAAGCTGGAGGATATGTGTTAGACCTTTTCACCACTCTACTGTTTACTGCGACAGAATGTTGAAAAAAACAAACAAATAAAAATAAAAGTATGAGTCCAGAACCCTCCTGCGCCCTCGGCCAGATTAGAGCAGCTCCTGTGGGCTTGTTTGGGTCGTGTTGTAGAAACAGATCACTGACAGCCATGTATTAGAGGAGGATTAACATGACTTTCGCCCTGGTTTCTGCACAATAAAGCTTTAATCTAGACCTCTGGTTGGGAGGCCTGCGCCAAACGAGGCTGAGCCAATGAGCTTCGATGGTGTCAGCGGTGTGGCCCCGCCCACGCGGTCTCTGGTGCTGGTGGTGCTGGGCCTGGCAGCCTGACTGCAGTAACAGACGCGCCTCTGGGATTCCACCTGTCAGCCACACACGTGCTAAACGACAGGCCTCGTCTGAGCTGAACTCCCTGTCACCTCTTTGTCAAATCTTCATCTTCTCATTCGTCTGACAGATTCCCTCTGCCCACCCCACCCTACACCCCCATCCCAAACACCGCCTGTCCCCACAGCCTGCATGAAACACACCAGCACCACTGGTCCGGGCCGGCTGCATACACACATGCATTAGGAGACAAAACTGGTTTGTTTTTTCACTTCGAACAAATAAGCCACAATCTTCCTGATGAAGCAACCACCATCTTTTCTCCCTGCTTTCAGCTGATGGAGGTGGTCTTTAATGTTCCTCAGTAATTGGATGGGAGAGACTGGTTGGGAGGAGGAGGAGGAAGAGGAAGGGTCATGGTCAGGTTCCTAGTGGAGGTTATTCTGCATCTGTCTCTTAGCAACAACAGCTCACTATTTGTACAGTCCTTGAGTTGATTGCTGTGTTTTTTTCTCCTGCTCTGTCTCTGAAATGTTTGGCAATGGTGGAGGGGGTGGGGTGTGTGTGTGTGTGTGTGTGTGTGTGTGGGGGGGGGGGGGGCTCAGCAGACAGCCTTCCTCCAATATTCACTGCTTTTAGGATTTAGCTTCCACGAGCATCAGATGGGCTCACTGAGGCGTGGTTCTGCAGCATCACCTCTCAGGGTGGAAATTAGCATTCTTCAAAGTGAGGAGAAGATGTCAGACGAGGAATTTTATCAGTGAGAATTCCAAACGTTCCGCTGAAGAGGGGCTTCTCTGTGAGGGCTCGTAAGCTTTTCAGTCTGTCTGAAAAGATGTGATAAGTTCAGCTGATCATCTTTAAGCACAGGCGTCTCCCTTCTCACGCCAGGTGAATGGGCATGTTGGGGTCAGAGGTCAGGGAGTGGATCCCTCTGGAGCACAGAGAGGGAAATGGACAGCTGAGGAATGAGATTATAATTTCCTGATAGATGGAGGCTGAAACTTAATTTAGTTAATCCAACAAAAAAAATTAGAAATTCTTCAGCTTTTAGCTGCAAGTAAAAACATAACTGTCCTAATTAGTTCAGGGAGGAAAACAGGCCAAATAACAACGAAACAATCCAATCTTCTCTGAAACGCCTCATAACTGCACACAAGTCCTTTACTCATCATTAGATAGTTTTTTTATACTTTAAAATAATAAACATGGACTTCACACTCATTGACTCGTATTTAAGGAGTTTGCAGAATAGTTGCTAAACGGCGGAATCTGTGCAGGAGGAGAAGCATCCACTAAAGTCTGAAACGTCCCGCTCCAGTTCGGGTCCGGCCCAGGTCAAATCCGCAAAGTCCGGATTTACGCAGCTGCAAGAAATAAAACACTGAAACCAAACCCCGCAGTGGTCCCGTTTTCTCCTAATGGATGTTTTTATTCTTATTTTTACAATAATAATAATAATAATAATAATAATAATAATAATAATAATAATAATAATAACATTTAGATATAGCCGACTAATTTTAAACATAAAACTAAACCTTTTTAGTTTGTTGCTCAAAATATTTTTTAATTGACGTCTTTTTAGTAAACAAAAAGTTAAAAACACAATCTCTCCCAGAAGGGGACAACAGGTCTGCAATAATAAAATAAAACCGGAACATTTATTAAACATTAGCCTTTTCTGATGGTTTGAGAGAAAGCGCTCATCTTTATTATGAACTGCAACAAAGCCACAGAATAAAGCAAATAAAACAAACCGGAGAAATAAGAAATCATTTGAGGTAAAACGTTTCGGCGCGTTTGTGATTAAAACTAATAATTAGAGACCGGAAGTGAAAACCACCTGTTTAGGCCTAATTATCGGTGCTACAGGTGTCGCGCGCCCGTTTATCTCTTGATTTAATGTCGTTTGCTTTTTAAAACCCAACAGTTCCGCTAAATCTAGGAAAACGAGGAGAGAACAAATAAAACGGGAAGCGGCGGGATGATGATCCTGTTTCTCTGGGACGCAAAAACATTCCATAAATCCTTCAGAAGTTTAGATCAAACAGATTTTTACATTTACTTAAACATCGTGATTTTAAAGCTTTAATTACTGATGTAAACAGGCTTGAATCAACGGTTAAAGCAATAAAAAGTCCCATAACCGAATTAAAGGCTTTTAAATCCAAATTAAGATCGTGCAAATAATGGAATTAAAAAAAAAACATCGGGACATTAAATTCTCCTTTTTCAAAATTTTATTTTCTTACAGGAAATTATTTAAAAAGAAAACCTCTTTTACAGATTTTAGATTAAATCTCCATCTTCAGACAGAGTCCCGGATTAAACCCATCTAATTATTTTTATTGGAGCTGTTATGAAGTCCAGGGGGTGGAGATCTACGTGGATGTGCTGCTGTGCTCCTCCGGTCCAGAACCCTGATCCCAGAGGCATCTGCAGACCTCGGTGTGAACCCTTACGGTTCTCCTCCCTGGACCTGTGTGGGAAACGGCTCCATTGTTTCATGTTGGCCCTCTGGCCCCGAGCAGCCAGGGGCCCGGAGCTGCAGCGTCATCCTCCTCAGGGTAAGCTGTAGTGACAGAACACTCTGGGGCCTCTCATTAGCTCCCTGTCCTCTAAGATGCTGAGAAGCTGCTCTAATCCACCCTGCTTCAATCTGGCACCGAGTTCACGTCTCCTCCTGGGTCCCACCTCCTCTCTGAGGAGCCCAGAGGAGGTGCTAACATGGCTGGATGGTTGGTGCTCCAGTCCTTTTGTAAAAATAGTCATTTCACAAAATATAAACTACAATGCAAAAGGAAATGTGTGTGTGTGTGTGTGTGTGTGTGAAACTCGTGTCATCCAGCTGTTGGGAGGAATTAGTTTCGTTTAAACCTCAAATCAAAGACAAAACTTGATTCTGTAAAAACCAACCTGTTTGGAGGACACACACGCACGCACACACACACCCTACACTGGGCCATCTATTTATTTGCTCAACCTCTACGACTCCTGGAGACTACCGGCCGTATTTGGTGGCGTCTTTAGTCTCTGATCACATCCTGGGAAATCAGGATTTGGATCTAAAAATATATAACAACATTCAGCCATATCAGATTCTCCACCAGCCGCCTCATTAGCTTTTAATAACTCAGTAATGACAAAAATGTGTGAATCCTAATAAAAACACCGAGTATTGATATGTAAAACAGATGGAATTAACTATAGTTAACATAGTCTATAGACTGGCGGAAACATATTACTATAATGGAAATTTTACGTCAGAACGTGTAAGCTGTGATGGCAAATGAATGCATTATTTGTGTTTATCTTGCTTCTCTCTAAAGTGTGTAAACTAAAACACTGAAACATCCAAAACAGCTTTCATTTCTCCCCGTAAGAAACAAACTCAAAGTCAGGAGGTTTCCAGGTGTCAGACACCTGCATTAAATACTTCTGAAATGTTTATTTAGTCCAAAGTGCTATTTCAGGAAGGTATGAAAACAACAACAACACAACAGGCTCCCTGCAGTTTTCTCTGTAACTGGGGCAAAGAACATAAATTACTGCACGATAAATATACACACAGGTCCAATAAATACTGTTTGTTATTTTAGAAAGCACAACGCGTCCATAGAGAGTGAGAGGTCATCACAATAAAAACAAAAACAGCAGTCATCTGTTGTCATAAAATCTGGTAAAAATGTGCCAGTGGGTCGGACCAGCTCCGCTTCAGGATGAGGCTCCACTGTCAGCAAGAAAGTAGGAAAATTACAACAATTCTTCACCTATTTATTAATCTCATTCCAGTCTTTTGACTCGCTTATCCAACCAGGGCTTTAGCCTGATAAAAATAAGGAAGTGAAATCTGTGGGATGTTTTTCCTGACCTGGCGGCGTGTTCTACTGGATGGGCATGTAAGGCCAGCTGAAGCTGCTCCCAGACAGCAGCATGTCCCTGATCAGGGTCTCGATGGGGGTTTTCCCCACCAGACGCACGAAGAAGAGCTGCTCTATGACCGAGGAGGAGACGGTGCGTAGAGACGGCAGGCGTAGCAGCAGCTTCCCAAACCTGTTGGGCTGGTTGGGATACTGGCTCCTCACGTACTCCTCCAGAGCACACTGGGATTTCTCCTGAAGGCTCTCCACATGGGCCACGTCCGACAGGCCGCAGGCATCTGCAGGGGGGGGGGAGACGCAGCACAAGGGGCTGGTGAAGGTCAGAGGCTCCACATAAATCACATTTACTTCTGTTTATCTCCTCAGTAAAAGCATATTAACCAAATTAATAACTGGAGATTTGGTGCACTTATGGGTGCTGTAAGTGGTGGAAATTAAGATCTACCTTTCACCTCAATGGTTCCGACAGCCTAAGTCCTTAAAACGTAAAATAAAACCTGTAAGGAGCAGTGAGAGCAGGAGCGGTTAGGATGCTGCTGCAGGCCGCACGGCAGCAGGGGTTATGGAAAGGCTACTGTGTCCCAGTTTAAGGACACGTGTTCAGATGTGCTCAAAGGGACTAAAATAGAAGACCTGCCTTTATTTCTCCTCTGCTGCTGCTCGTCGCTCTGATCCAGCATCAGACCTGATGTCAGCCGCTTTGGATTTACTCACGCTTAAAAATAATTATTACATTAAGTTACACCAAAGCTTGATCTGAATGGATAAAAGATGCTAAAATAATTGCTATAAAGAATATAACACCTGATCGCTGTTTTCATGTTGTGGAGGTTAAAGGGTTAACTGTCAGGAACTGCTTTGGTTTGCATCAAATATTTTCTAGTTTGCTGCATTTAAAATATCCTAATTACACCATAAACATCTTACTGGAAACGTAAAGTACAAATTTAGGAAACAGGAAGTTGATTTAATTTAAACATATGACAAAATCTTACATTTTTAATTATTTAAACTTTCCCCGTTATGTGATCTGTATTTACAAAGCACCTTCTTGGCGGGAGATCAATATTTTAATCACATAAAAGCAGTAGAAGAAAATGCTTTTATTTATTTTCCATTTATAACAAATAAATAAATATTTTCTTCATGTTTGTGACCAAAAAGTATTTTTTAATTATATGAATGTATTAGATTGCATGTTGAATTATGTTCTTGGATATTTAAATCGGATATCACAAACATCTGGAATATTTTTAAGCTTGATTACATATATTTTATTTTCTATTTCTTCATGTCATCGTCATAAGAATCTCTCAGTGATGCCAGATTTATTCTTAATGTTCAGCCTCCGACCCTGGGGCTGCTCTGCAGGTATGGACTCTACCTGTGGTGAACAACACGATGGCCTTGACGCAGCTGTACTCCGCCGAATCCACCTGCAGCACCTTCAGCTTCTCCACCTGCTCCTGGAAGACCCGAATGTGATCCATGAAAGCCACCACCCGGTCGGCGGACATCGGGGACGCGTGGAGGCCCGCGGCGGCTAGCAGCGGGGCGACGTGGACCGGCATGGAGCACTGGGCCGCGTTTAGAACGAACAGTTCACTCCAGGTGAGGCGCAGGAGGGCCACCTGGTCCGGAACCTGCAAGTCTGGGAAGAACGGGATGTTGCGAGCCCACTCTACGGCGCTGAACAGCATCCGGGCCGCCAGCTCGCAGATGTTCTCAATGCCCATGAGGTTGTTGCTCTGCAGGCACTGGGAGCCGAACCTGGAGGTGGGGTAGGGCTCGGCCCGCAGCAGCAGAGAGATGTAGCCGGACAGATAGGAGTGGCACTGCAGGGGGTCTCCGTTAGTCAGGGCGAACTGGCCGTGGTAGGACTGGGTGGGAAGGCGGCCTCTCTGGACGGCTGCAACCACAAAACACGCGAGAAAACACGGGCTGAAGAGCTTCATAATAAACAAATAAATAAAGAAATACCAAGCACCGGATGATTAAAACTGACACACGTCAAAAACCCCAAAATGGACTCCCAATTAAAAACCGTTTTTCTTCTGTCTGGTCAGAAGTGGTCGACTGTCTGTACAAGAGCACGACCCACACTTTAGGATTTTACGACACTTTAACGGAAGTTACTTAATTTTAAATTAATTTAACTTAACCGGAAACCGGTCTAGAACTAGCTTAATTTTAGCAACAAATTATTTAGCATAAAACGTTCAACAAATTATTTTTTTACGATTTTTACTTAAAGACATATTCAACTACTTAGTAATGAATGTGTAAAATAAAAAACAAATACACATTTGCCTACGCAAAGAAAATAACTGTTAGCATAACAATAACAGTAGCTACAGCTGGGCCTGTATGACCAGCGCGCGCGCGCGCGCGCGCACACACACGCACACACACACACACACAGAAGAACTTGAAGGCTACAGAAAAACGACGGAGCTAAACCGAGCCTGCTGCCGAAAGTTAGCTAGTGAAATGTAAAAATCCAACTGTTTTGTTGTTAGCATCATTAACCTTCACTAAACATGCTAAGATGCTAACTGGGACTCTCCTAAATCTGTATAGCCCTCTCTAAATGCGAATCATGTATAATATAAAATATTTATTATAGCTATATAGAACTTAAACCATTAAAATTTATTTCTACAAGGGTAAAATAATATTTTTGCATTTTCGAACAGTATTAGGGCCTAGGTCAAACCTACACATAAATGTTGCTGTCCAGTAATCAGCTAGCTAAATGTTGGATCTGTAAAAGATCAATTTGGAGGGATTATTGGATTATTAGCCAAACAGTGAAGTGAAACATAGTTAATAATTACAGAAAATAAAGAAAAAAAAATATTTTTTGTGCTTCGTTTTGGCAGAATAATAAGAGGCTCCAGGAGGACCCATCGTACCTTCCCTCCTCATGCCGACTTTGAGGCATTTCTTGAGGCGACAGTACTGGCACTGGTTCCGGTGGTGCTGGTCCACGGGACAGTTCCTGTTGGCCCTGCAGGTGTAGCTCAGGTTCCTCCTGACGCTGCGTTTGAAAAAGCTCTTACATCCTTCACAGGTGAACTGTCCGTAGTGCTTCCCGCTGGATTTGTCCCCACAAACAATGCACTCGATTTGCTGGCTTTGCTGTTTGTCCATGGAGGAAGAGGAGGATGAGGAGGAAGAGGAGGTGTTGTTAGTAGTGGTGGTTGTGGCGGAGGTTCCAGGCGCATTGGGCGGCGGTGCTGGTGCTCCCGCTGCAACCGTCTGGGATATCTCCAGGGAAGGACCCGAGTTCATGTGTCCCGTCATGTCTCCGGGCAGAGACAGCGGCGCCACCTGGGACACCGGAGAGGACAGGGTCCCCTGGGTGTCCCCCACTCCCTCCGTGCTTCTCCACGCTACCATAGCCATACCGACCGTGTCCAAAAGTTTGAACACCAAACTTTCCTTTTAATGTAACCCGACAATTAACGCACACGCTTTAATCTCTCATGCACATTTAAAGAAACATCGGTGGACAGAATGAGACTGGTCATCAAATAGCCGGAGAAGGCGCTCATTAGATAAAAAAAATGTAGCCTGGTAAAGTGGAAACACCCCCATAAAAGTCAACATCCACGGAGGAGACAACCAAGAAAAGAAGGAATCCGTGGAGAAGCGCGTTCTTCCAAAACAATGTCGAGTCTCTTCTGGTTTGCGTCCAGCTTTAGCAGATCCTTCACCACAGAGGGAGTCTCCAGACCAGGCTTCCCAGGCGCTCCCTGCTCCCCTAATCAGGCTGGAGGTACATTAAAAAGACAACAGAGGGGGAGGAGGAGGAGATGGAGGAGGTGAGAGAGAGAGAAAGGGGGGACGGGGCTTGATGGATGGTGATTTTGGTGATGCTTTGCAGAGTCTAGGAAAGTGGTGCGTCCTGGATGTACGTCACCGCCGTAGTCACGTGCGCCTGAAGTGGGAGGGTTTGCGCATAGAGGAGCTTATCTGGGAACAGAAGAATTAGCGAGTTCCACCTTTGTTTATTAATCCACTAGCTGTTTGGTGTGTGTGTGTGTGTGTGTGTGTGTGTATGTGTGTGTGTGTGTGTGTGTGTGTGTGTGTGTGTGTGTGTGTGTGTGAGTGAGAGAGAGAGAGAGAGAGAGAGAGAGAGAGAGAGAGAGAGAGAGAGAGAGAGAGAGAGAGAGAGCTCAAACTGAAGCTGAGACAAGGTAGAATGGTGTGTGCTCACATCTCAGCTATAACTGCTGGGATTTGATGCCACCTAGTGTCATCAGCTAATTACAGGCAATAAAGCCTTTTTTAGAGAATAGTGTTAATACTGGCTTTTAAGTCTACTGATGTATTTTTAAATTTTTTTTCTCACATATTACTTTTTAATATTTGATTAAAAACACAATTCCGAGTCATTATTAGTCACATGTTTAGTCAGGCAAGTACAAGACTCATTTAAATGACCCTGAACCACTGTTTTGGATACAGAAACAGAATCAAATGTTCGTAGTCCTACAATAAGGAACCAAAACCAGTACAAAAACCTTCCTCACATTTTTTATATGTTCTTTCTGTGTAAACTGTCAAATTCCATTGCTCAGTTATTTTCTAAACACAGTAAATATTTGTTTTTATCTTTTAAGCTGACAAGTTTCGGCTACAACTGTAGCACCTCCGATGGCTACAGTTTTAGCTGAAACTTGTCAGCTTTAAAGGTAAAAAACACAAATCTTCCTCACCTTTACTGACAAAATCAAACTCACATCTGGTCTCAAAACAAACACTTTATTTAAAGGTGTGGTTCACTAAAAACATTTTTAGTCATTATTCCTGATTATAATCAGTCACTGTGAGTTTTACATGAAGCCTGAACATGAAAATAGTCTCTTACACCTATCTCCTGCATTAGCATCTGATAGAAAATCGATAAATTCCCTGTTAAATTGCAGTAAACTACTGGCAGCCAGAGGTGCCAGCTTGAAACTGTTAATCTACAGTACCTATCATGATCCACAACAACCGAACATGAACAGTATTATAATGTCATTTCTATGGTTGCCAATATACTGTTATTTTACAGTTCCTACTAGTGATGTGTCGATCGTGAAGGAAATATTAACTCATACCTCAGGTGACTGCAGACAGCCAGTGAGAGAATGAACACAAAGAATTGAGTCCAGAGCATTGAGTGTGAATCACTGAGTCAAAGAGTGGAACGGCACAGGGGTCCAATTCCTTTGACCGACCTCCTCACTTACGGTGCCAAAGTGGCTCAGCAAGTAATACCACATTTGCAACCGTGAACAAAGTCTTAACTAAGAACAATACAATCCCCTCAAAACAAACATGCATAAACACCCCAAAATAGAACAAACTAACTAAAAACATGACCACCCACAATGCACCTCACCCACTGCAGCTGAAGAAGCAAAGAAATAAGAAGTCGGCGCTTACCAGAGTACTTTTCACACTGTTTTGGAGAAATTTTCATAAACACTGGAGTATAGACTAATAGTAACTCCAAAAGAATACATATAAAGTCGTTTTAAACAAATCTGTTTTAACTCTGAATTAGGGATGCAAGCAATAAATCGATTATCGATTAATTGTCGATAGAAAATTACTCAAGTTAAATTAGTTAATTACGTTTTGAACCCGTAATTCCCTGCCAGGCCTTGTGGGGCGCTTGACACCAGACGTAGTTGACGCACTCACGGGAACACAAGCGAAGCTGGGCTCTGACAGTAACAAGAGACAAAGGAGAAGCGGTACACTGAAGATGAAGAGGGCAAAACGGAGTACAGTATGGAGCCACTTCAAGTTGGTCAATAACGACAATGACGCCAAATGCACAATATGTGGTAGTATTTTGAAGTACACCAACTCCACAACTTTGTTTAATTACCACCTAAATATGTCACATTCAGCCGTGCTACAAACAGCGAGTGGTGCTCAGCCTACAATCACCACAGCTTTGGGAAGAAGGGTATGTGACCCCACCAAAGCAGCGAATATGTTACATGGTTACTACAGACATGCTGCTGATAAATGCTGTTGACAGACAGGGATTTCAGGAAGTGATAAAGTACATTGAGCCGGGGTACAAAATCCCCTCTAGAACAACCATAACCAGTCGCTTGGAAGCTAATTACGTGAGGAATAAGGGCGAGTTGAGAACGCAACGTGCAACTGCGAATGTGGCCCTCACAACAGACTGTTGGACTTCCTTGACTACAGAAAGCTACATCACAGTGACTTGCCACTACATTGAACCGGACTGGCAGGTAAAGTCAACAGTTTTACTCACAGAGAGCGTAACAGAGGGGCATAAGGCAGGCAATTTAGCTGACAAGTTAAACCAGGCTGTGGAAACATGGGGACTCACGGGGCGTGTAGTTGCTTGTGTGCACGACAATTTACGTAATATCGTCTCTGCAAACAGTCCCACACGAGTCAACTGGCACTCAGTTCCATCTTTCGCCCACATGCTGCAGCTGGCCATTAACGACGGCTTCGCTACCTACATTAACCGAGCAGGTATAGCTGCTAGAAGACTCGTGCAACACTTCAATCATAATAATCCAGCAAACAAAGCGCTCGCAGCTAAACAGAAGCAAATGCAGCTGCCGTCTCAAACTCATCCAATCCTGTAAAAGCAGGGGGAACTGAGTCAGTGAAACGTTTAACAGACTAACGGAGCAGAGGTGGGCCGTGTCCGCTGTAGTCTGACTGCACAGTAACCAAACTCGCAGACGTGAGGAACGCTGGAATTGAGAGGTGAATATTGGCAGTTGTTGGAGGATGTGGCGCCAATGCTGGAAACACTCAAGTGTGCAACGACTGTCATGTTTACTGATCACCTTCAGCCTGATCAGCGTGCAGCTCAAGACAGATGAGGAAGACACCAGCAAAGTGGGGAAATTCAAATCCAGTGTGCACACTTCACTGAGTGAAAGGATGAAAGTGAGTTAAATCCATTACTTTAATTATTGCAGATATTTTTAACTGCATTCATTGCACACAAAGCACATTGTTTAACTACTGTAGTTTTTAACTCCTATTTTAACAATCTATTAATGATTAAAACTGGTTCATTCATTAAATAATAAAACACTTAACCTATTAAAAAATTGTTAAAAACAAAAATCTAATTTAAGCCACATTTAAATCTAATTTATTATCTTTTTCTTCACAGATTGCTTCTGATGACCTGACGTCAACACCACCGATGCTGGCAACCATGCTGGATCCTAGGCACAAGCAGAAGGGATTTCAAACCCCACCTACGAGGACTGCAGCTCTTGCCAAACTGCTTGAAGTTCTGGCTGAAGCAGATGCCAAACGTAGGAGCTCCACATCAGCAGATGCCGTTGGTGGCCAGCAGGAGGTGGTCGGGACAGTGTCAGTCCAGGGAGCTGTGCTTCAGAGACACAGTGCTTATGCTTTACTCATGGGTGAAAACTATACCACCAGGAGCGCCGATGACATAGAAAAAGAGGTGGACAGCTTTCTGAAGGATCCGCCACCACTCCTTGATTCCAGTCCCACAACATGGTGGAAAGTCAATGAAGGAAGGTTCCCAATCAGAATCAGAAAACTTTATTTATCCCCGAGGGGCGATTAAAAAAAATAACAGCAGAGCAGCATGATGTTGGACATACGAACATTGAATAAATGGGCAATAAGGAAGTAATAAAGCAGCAAGAAGATGGATAAAACAGAAAAATATGCAAAAAACACTGAGATGGATAAAACAGTAAAGTATGACGCATACACGGGAACACAAGCGTTCCACTTGGGCACTTGGCGTTCCAAGGGGCACTAAACAGCCCAAGGCTGGCAAACTTGGCACGAAAGTACTTGGCCATACCAGGCACATCAATCCCTTCCGAGAGAGTATTCACAGCAGCTGACCTGACTGTTAGCAGACTGCGCAGACGACGTACTCCTGAGCATGTTGATATGCTGATATTCTTGAACAAAAATAGATGGGTCTATTTATGCGATGAGGAGCACGAGGGATGTTTTGTTTTAGTTTGTTTTACGAAGACGGACACATCTGTCCACATCTGTCATCAGGCAGCCCATATTTTAAGTCAACTAGAGCTACAGTCCTGGTCTACTAATGTAATTGTGATATTGTCACATTTCCCAGTTTAAGAAGGATTATAAATATGGCTAATAGTCCACACATGACACCTATTTACTTTTCAGAATTTAATTTATGTATTCTATTAGTTTTCAAAGAGGCAGTGCACTATGTTAAAGTATCCTATATTACATTTTTTTATTCAGAAATGTATATTTTATGCTGCTGCTATTTATGTTTACAATGTCGCAGATGAGAAGCGAGACTTTATTTTAATTTTAAGTAGTCTGTCTAATATTTGTATGTTTTCTATTCAGAATATGTTGATATGCTACCAAAAGTTATTCCCTGCCCTCAAGTGAGCTCAGAATACATCTTTGATTAAGGAATATGATTTGCATTTTTTCTTTATATGATATTTCTATATAAATAGCATTTTTTGTTACGTATACAGTAGATGGAACCTATTCAGAGTGACACAGCAACCTAGCGGAGGTTAGGTTTTCTTCTAAAAAAAAGATGTCTGCGCCATCGCCAGGCGCTGTCCTTGACTACAGCTAAATAAACTATAGCGTTGCGTGATACAGCCGTCATTTCTGCCTTTTTTCTGATTGGTTATTTTTGAGCTGACTAGTCCCGCCCCTCATGGTGCTCTCTGCCTGTGAGTATCCAGACTTGTCCTCTGTGTAGACTAGACAATGGATGAGCCTGGCAGGCCAGACTAGTATTTTACACTCACTTTCATTAAATTGACGCTAACAGAGTTCCCGTACTCTGACGCTTAACACTTTGGGTTCTACTGTGTTTTAGCTATATTACATCAAGTGCACATCTGAAGATACTTTT